TGTGGGGGGTTGGTTCTTAATGTTGAGAACAGTTCGTTTTGCTTTTTGGGATTTTATCAGGTGAACACAGTTGAAACTTGCTCTTAGTGTTTTGTTTTTTTTTTTTTTTCTTCTGGTTCTTGCTCCTCATCTCCCCTTTTGCGTCTCTTTTGCTGTTGCAATCATGGAGTTTCAATCCCAGCTTTCTTTCCATTTTGTGGAAAACTATAGTATTTTAGGGATTTAAGGAAGAAGATCGAGACTTTTCTGTCTCTTCTAGCTTGTTTTATTATGGAATTTGCTTGTTTCAAGTTCAGGGAATCTGAGGTTTGTTGCTTGAATCTCTTGCATTGAACTATGTGAGCTATGCTTGCTTGTTTTGGAGAAACATTGCAGTTCTCGAGCATCAGAGCTTGAATCTTTTACAGTTGGATATCTTGGATTAGAGGTATTTATGTGCTTACTTTGGTCTATACTCCTGAATGATAGAACTTTGGCAGCCTGTGGTGAGATAATTCTAAATGGGGATGTTACCCTTGAGAATGAATGCGTTGTGCTCGACGGGCGATCTCTGAGAGCTTGAATTTTGGTGATTTATAGAGTTTTAGTGGATAATTAGTGGGATGTGAGGGATTAGGTTGCTTTTGAGGAGACATATAATTGCAGAGACTTGGGAGGATTGGATTGAAGAAAAATGCTACACATCTCGGGGAGTTTCCTTAATTCACATGAGATTCTGCAATTAAACACATTAATGCTCTCATCATGACCAGGGCTGTTCGTGATAGGATTCTCAAGGATGCAAACGGTGACATCAGTTATCATCTACGCAACCACATCCATTTGACTAATTGTATCCACTTGAAGAACCATATGCACAAGAATAGTCCCATGTTATCCGACAGGTCACTCATGAGGGACCTTACAGTCCTTCAGAGGGCCCGATCTCTTCGAGACCCTTCTGCCAGTCCTCCCTCTTGGCACTCACCTTCTGTTATTGATCTGCTTTCAAAGAAAGGTGAGAAGGATGGCATCCAAGAGGGGAGAATGTATGTAGGCATTGAACGCCCAGGGGATGGTAATAGGCTGTCTGGAAGCTCACCTCATATAGCAAATTTAGCTACTTCAAAAGTTGCCCCTGGTGAAGCAAGTGTGGTTAATGAATGGGCTGCAGGAATTAGTGACCGTAGTAGCAAGGGTGGATTTAAAGATGATCGAAGAGTAAGAAGAGAAAAATCTAGTTTGAGAAGTAATAGGACTGATCATTCAGGTGAAAATAAGGAGCCTCCACAGGTTCAAGAGGGTAATGGTTTGGAACACCATGATGTTACAGGTACTTCTGGTTTGAAAGATAAGAGTAAGAGAAAGGGGAAGCATGTCCAAAATTCTCAAATTAAGACCCCTTCTGAGCAATTGAATGACATTCCACTAGATGGTGATGATGTAGGTTCTTCTAATGTCCATCATGGAAGGCCTCCTAGACAGGGTAAAACTGGGGAGGAACCTCAAGCTAGCATCAGGGGGTACTCAAGTGGGTTGAACAGGGCAAAAAGACGCAGGTTTCGAGGGGCCAGGAGAACTCGGGCTGCACCTACGTTAAGAGAGGCTGTTGGTCAGAATGAACTATCTGTGGCATCTAATTCATTTGGTCAAGGTTCAGCACATCCAAAGTACGGCATGGAGGAGGAGGAAGAGGACCATGGAGAGGAAAATGTCACAAAGGCTCCTAGAAATGGGTGTGGAATTCCTTGGAATTGGTCCAGAATCCATCATAGGGGTAGAACTTTCCTGGATATTGCAGGAAGGAGTTTATCTTGTGGCATGTCAGACTCAAGGTCTAGGAAAGGTGGGGCAGCTTCCCGTGGGAGGGATATTCCTGAAATGCCTGTGGCCTCCAATCACTCAAGTTCATCCACAAAATCTGATGCAGAGGCGCTGCCTCTCCTAGTTGAGGCATCTGGATCCCAGGATAGCACAGAGAATGCTCGTTGGCTGAATGATTATTCAGGGGAGCTAGGTATTTTTGCTGATAATTTATTTAAACATAATCTTGATTCTGACCTTGCTTCTGAAGCTAGGTCTGGTGGACAACACAAGTTAGGTAAGAAACGACATGGTAGGCACCAAAATTTGACACAAAAATACATGCCAAGAACTTTTAGAGACTTGGTGGGACAGACTTTAGTTGTGCAAGCCCTTTCTAATGCCATCATGAAAAGGAGGATCGGATTGCTATATGTGTTTTATGGACCTCATGGCACAGGGAAAACCTCTTGCGCTAGGATATTTGCCAGGGCTTTGAATTGTCAGTCACTTGAACACCCTAAACCTTGTGGCTTTTGCAATTCTTGCAATTCTCATGAAATGGGTAAGAGCCGAAATATAAGGGAAGTTGGTCCTGTCAGTAATTTTGACTTTGAGAACATTGTGGATCTTCTTGACAATATGACATTCTCCCACCTTCCATCACAATATAGAGTTTTCATATTTGATGACTGTGATTCTCTGTCCACTGATTGTTGGAATGCTATATCAAAGTTCATTGACCGAGCACCAAGACGTGTGGTTTTTGTCCTTGTTAGTTCAAGTCTAGATGTTCTGCCTCATATAATCATATCCAGATGCCATAAATTCTTTTTCCCAAAACTGAAGGACCCAGATATCATCTATAGTTTGCAGCGGATTGCATCCAAAGAAAATATTGAAATAGCTAAGGATGCCCTAAAATTGATTGCTTCTCGATCAGATGGATCATTGAGGGATGCAGAGATGACTCTTGAGCAGCTTAGTTTGCTTGGGCAGAGAATTTCAGTTCCTTTGGTTCAGGAACTGGTATGTTTCCTTATCTTAATTAGAGTATTTACAAATATTTCAAATCAGTTTGTTACAAATGTTTCAGTGGCCAAATATATATATATATATATATATGTTACAAATATTTCAAAATCATGAGGCATTGCTTAATTGTTTGATTGCAAAAATATGCTGTTTTCAATTCCAAAAGAAAATGCTGTTTTGAGGTTTCAGCTCTTAGTGTTGGGTCCTATTCATTATCATAAAGAAACTGGGTATTCTGAGGTTGTTATTAATTAATATTTTCACATCCTGAGTTAGTAAAGAAAATAAAGAAAGAGATGGATTCATTGTGATTGTGCTGGTACTATAAATTATTTACCATAAACTTTATGATTCTGGCTTGCAGGTGGGGCTTATATCTGATGAAAAGTTGGTAGATCTTCTTGATTTAGCTCTGTCTGCAGACACAGCAAATACTGTGAAGAGTTTAAGAGTGATAATGGAGTCTGGTGTGGAGCCTTTGGGTTTGATGTCGCAGCTTGCTACAGTTATAACTGATATACTTGCTGGCAGTTATGACTTCACTAGAGAAAGACAAAGAAGGAAGTTCTTTCGGCGTCAACCATGTAAGTCTGATAAAGACATTTTTTTTTTTCTTGTTGCAGTAATTATAAATAATTGAATAATGCTTCATGCTCATTAAAATATTTTTATGTGGAATCTTAAATTGTTCTGCCTTTTTGCCCACTTTGACATTTGTCCACTTTACATATAAAGCATTGGAACTGAGGTTCAATTTTGAACATATAACCTTTGCCCTCTGAAATTCTGTGAAGTCCAGCCTGATAAATGATAATATACAGCAACAATAACGTTAAATAATGATAAATAGAATTACAAATTGCCTTGCATAATGCTTTTGATGTTAGCTTTCTTTCAAAGCTGAAAAGATAGATCTGTGGATTCCAGTGTCAAAAGAAGAAACAGAGAAACTACGGCAAGCTCTGAAAACACTGTCCGAGGCTGAGAAACAACTGAGAATGACAAATGACAAATTAACATGGCTGACAGCTGCATTGCTTCAACTTGCTCCTGATCAGCAATATGCATTGCCTATTTCATCTGCCGAGACTAGTTTTGATCAAAGTCCTGTTGCTCTAAATAATGCCAGTGGAAGAGACATGGCCAGGAAAGATGGCGAACTTATTGAAATGCCTGAGAACATCAGAGGCATGTCAACAAACTCTAGATTGCAAAATCCCCTTGTTAGAGGTTCCAGGGATTATAGCAATTTTAGTATGAAAGGTATTAGTTTGGATAGAAGGAGGAATGCTGGGGCTGGATTGATTCCTCAACAAACCTCTGCAGTTGCCGGTAATATGGCCAGGATTAATGGGAGACAGAATGTAATAAAAAGCCGTAATGCAATTGAAGAAATTTGGTTGGAAGTGCTTGACAAGATCCAAATTAGTGGTCTAAAAGAGTTTTTGTTACAAGAAGGAAATCCAATCTCTGTCAGTTCTGGAGCAGGTATGTCCTTAATGTTTTACTGGGACCTCTTTGAAGATTTCCAATGTTTTGGTTATACTTGGTAATTTCTACCATTTCATGCAGTGCATGTCTATTTTACCTCTTATCTTCTTGATCTTTTCTTCCACATTGATGGTGGTGATTTGAAGAAAAAGGAGCAGATAGCTGGTTAAAATGAACACAAATTATGGAAAAGAACTAACATTTTCCGTTTCTGCTATATGTTATAACCAATCTTTGATTTAATGAGACAAATAGCCTCTCTTTTTTTCTTGATAGCATTTCTTCCTTTATTCCTACAAAATTTCCCTTTGATTTATGCTGCTGAAACTGAAAATGAACTGAATACAAATGTCACAAAATAGACAACAAAATTATCAAACTTTGTTGGCACAATAATTGTGGTTTCCTTTCATTTCTCCTTGCCAAATACCAATACTTTCCCTCAAGACAAGCAGACCATTTTTTTTTTTTCTGTAATTGGAAAAATTTTTTCCTTAAAGGGACAAAACAGTGAGCCGAGAACTGTGAAGCCGGAAGCGAATAATTGATAAAGACGACCTGCGACTAGACTCCTACTCCAATTAGCAGAAGCTTCTCTCCTTAGCTGTCGCTCAAAGGTCACTTCAGCCCACCAGAAGCAGCGGCGCCGGCAACATCATTCATTTCTTCCGATTTCTCAAGCAATCAAAGCAAGAGTGAGCGGCAAGCCTAGAGCAGATACCAAAGCACCGGTGCATCAACAACACCGATATCATCACTATCACGATGGGCTGCGCCGGATCCAAACGAGCCAAGGGTGACGGTGAATTGTTGCATAGCATTTTCTTCAATTTCATTATCATAATTTCTTTTTTTTTATTTTAAGGAGATCTTTGGATACGCTCTCATATTTTTCTCTGTGATCAGCTGATTTTCGTTTGACTGATCGACACTGATGCTATGAAAGATTTAGTTCTTATGGATTCCGACTGTAAATTAGGCTATGTTTGGATTTGTCATTAAACATTTTATTGCGAAGAAACAAATTTAATACTTTATGTCTCACCGGCTTTATGTTTGCTTTGATTGTTAGTGGAAAACGTTTGAGACTATCTATATAAAGAGAATTATTTATGATAGGTAATATGATTTGTTGAATAACAGTTAAGTTCGCAGGTTTAAACTCTAAGTTTGACAGTATTTGCATTTCTATATTGATGGAATCAAGATCGTGATAGAAGAAAAATATACATGCCAAAGGCTTGAATATGTAAAAGGTGAAGAGAAAAAAAAAAAAAAAACTAATTGGAAAATTGTATGTGTTGGTAGCATTTGAGGTTTCAACTTTCAAGAATATGTTGTTTGAAAAGTACTGTTAATTTCTGATGCAATTTGGGTTTCCACATAACCAGTTTGATAATACTAGTTCAGGTGATTTTGCTGATTTAGTAATGTTGTAATTATCATAATGATTGTGCAATGGATCATGAAAGGTGGTTTAATTTTTGGGTATTTTCTGTAACATGGAATGAGGAATAAATTCAACTGCTGGCCACAAACTAGTGAAAGGTAATTCTGAATTAAAAGACTAATATTTTTCGAGTAAATAGACATTAGACGAGGCTGATGTGGCAAATGAGTTGAGCAAAGTACTGAAAATTGTTTCTTATACTTTTGGTACATATGGAATTAAATCTTACCATAACATTCACTTTCATTCCAACTGTTATCCATGTAGGATTCTCATGTGAGTGTACAATGTGACGCTATAGATATGATATTTGGTGAT